TCAACTTGATCAAGGGCATCTACCAAAAGAGAAAAAAACCCTACAGTTAACATCATACTTAATGGTCAATCATGAGATGCTTTTCCCCTAAAATCAGAAACAAGGCAAAATCACCACTTATATTCAACGTTATATTGGAGATCCTAGCCAATACAATGGTGTCTGAACAATAAATTAATGGCATACAGATTGGAAGGGAAAAAGTAAAACTGTATTTGGAAACAACATGATGATCTAGAAAATCCCAATGAATCTACCAAAAAAAAAAAAAGCTATGAGACCTAATAAGTAAATTTAATAACATCACCAGATGTAAGATCGATGTAAAATAATTGATTTTATTTCTATATGAAAAAATTTGGAAGTTGAAGTTTTAAAAAAAAAAGTACAATTTATTTATAATATCATCAGAAACCAGGCGAGGGTAAATATAAGCAAGATCTCTATGCTGAAGACATCAATATACTGAGGAGAGAAATTAAAGAAGATCTAAATAAATGGATAAATATACCAGGTTCTTTGAATGAAATATTCACAATTTTAGGATGCAGCATCTCCTTAAACATATCTCTAAAAGCATTGTGATCTCAATCAAAATCCCAGTAGGCTTTTTGTACAAATTGAGAAGATAACTCCGAAATGTATATGGAAAAGCAAAAGAACTGGAACAGCCAGACCAATTTTGAGAAAGAAATATAAAAGCTGGAAGACTCACACTATCTCATTTCAAGACTACAGTAATCAAGAAAGTGTGATATTGGCATGGGATTGCCCTATAGATCAATAGAACACAAATAGACCAGCAAATATGGTCAATAAATTTTTGACAAAGGTAATTCAATGAAGAAATGATGGTCTTTTCAACAAATAGTGCTGGAGCAACTGGAAATCATATGAAAAAATATTCATCTTTGACCCCTTAGCTAAGACCATATACAAAAATGAACTCAAAATGGATTATTGACCTAAATGTAAAACCAAAAATTGTAATTTGTAGAAGAAAACAAAGTAGAAAATCTCTTGAGACCTTAGACTAGGCAAAGATTTATCAGGATACAAAAAGTATGGACTATAAAAAATGTATAAATTGGACATTAAAACTTCTGCTCTTCAAATAATAAAATGAAAGGAAAACCCACAAAGTGGGAGCAAATATTTTCAAAACATATGTCTGATAAAGGACTTGTATCCAGAATACATAAAGAACTTTCAGAATTCAGTAAGATTTAACAATCCAATTAAAAAAGAGACGATTTAAATAGACACTTCATCTGAGAAGATGTACAAATGGCAAACATTTGAAAAGATGCTCAACACTAATAACCATTAAGGATATGCAAGTAAAATCACATGAGACACCATTAACACCTTTATAAGAATACATAATATTGAAAAGAAAAAAAAATCCTGATGTTATCCACTTCTGGCAATAACACAGAACAACTGGAACTCTCACACATTGCTGGTGCAAATGAAAAATGTCATAGCCACTTTATAAAATCGTTTGGCAGTTTCTTATGTAGTCAAACATACACTTACCATAAAATTGAGAAATCTCACTTCTAGGTATTTACCCAAGAGAAATAAAAACTTACGTACACACAAAGACCTGTTCTGGAATGTTTAACAACTTTAATCAAAATCTCCAAAAACTATTAAATCTACTGGTGAGTGGATACTAAAATTGTAGAACATCCATACACTAGAATACCTCTCAGCTATATTAAGGAATAAACTACTGATACTTGCAACAGGGATGAATATTTTAAAAATAAGCTGGGCGAAAGAAGCCAAGTGCCAAAGGCTATATACTTTATTATTTCACTTATATGACATTCTGGAAAATGAAAAACTGTAGCGACAGAAATCTGATCAATTGTTGCCAGGAATGGGAGTAGAGAGAGGGTATTGACTATAATGGGGCAGAAGGGAACACGTTGGAGTTTTGGAAATGTTGTACAGCTTGACTGTATTGGTATTAATAGTTACATAATGGTATTATATTTATCAAAGCTCATCAAACTGTATATCTAAAAGAGTGAATTTAATTCTATGTAAATGACACCTCTTTAATCCTGAGTCTTAAAAAGGCATCCAATCAGAATATGACCTATATAAGACATTTGTATTTTACTGTGAGAGTAATGGAGATAGATACAGGGATTTTGATTGCTATTTTGGATCAATAATAGCCAAAGAAGTTTATGGGTTCCACAGGTATATGTAAAAGTATCCACTGGAGTCCAGAAAGAATATATTAAAAATTCAAATTATGTTAATCTCTTTAATTTTTATTAACTTCCACTTCTAAATTTGCTTTAAAGCATGGGAGGAGCATCTAAGGCACTTGACTTTTGATGTAGTTATAACTCTTTCAATAAATATATATCTTCACTAAATTTCTCTTTCATTGAGAGTTAGCACAGGACAAGTATCAAGAAACCAGATGACATCAGCATCCTACACTGCATAAAATTTATCCCCATTGGCAGGACCTTCAACCACACTAATGTTCTCATATGCCACTAAACCACATGAGTGGAAGGAGAGGAAGGAGGGAAGGAAAAGGGGAGGAAGAAAGGAGTAAAAGACAAAATGCTACAATCTGGAGATAGCAATCTGGTTAAGAATATGTCCCCAGTGATAAGCAGAAGCTGAATAACATATGAGAGAGAGCAAGAGAGAGAGAGAGAGAGAGAGAATGAATGAATAAATAAATGTCAATATTTTTAGTATATAAGGTCCATATAAGAAGTAGAAATGGTCAGTTAGAATACTCCCAAAGACCATGAGGGGGCCATGGGCATTGGTAAAACAAGGCAACTTAAGACATTTAATGGACATTCAAAATATTCAAGGACCCCCTAAGGCAGAGGCACAGACAAATAACAACTGAAACTGGAGGTAAACAAAGAGTTCAATCTTATTTTTGATGTCCATTGGTTGAATGTCAGCCTACCTGAAGAGGAAGAACATCAGAGGAAAACTTACTAAGAATGAGAATCCCAAGTCCAGAAAAAGGCAATGCAGATAGTGAATCACTGCCAGGGCCGAAGGGACTGCATAATCTCTGATCAAGTATGTATGAACATGATAGAGAGGGGGAAAAGAAAAAAAAATACCAACCAGTGACCTAAAGGTCACAAGGGGATAAACCTGCCACTATTAGAGATTTTGTATTTCCCAGGCAATGTTAAAACCTACACATACCAATGGATAAAACTGCTAGGAGTCAAGACTCAGGATTATGGGATGGGAAATATTCTAAAAGTAATAAAAGAAAAGGAAGTTTGATGAGGACCTCACACCCCCACCATTACAGTGCACAGACAAAAAAAGCTCCACCACTCTCTGAATATTCAAGTAGAAAGACTAACTTCTTGTGTTCCTACTGGCATTAACATGCAAAGAGGAAGACTTATCTGGGATCTGCCTTGGGGAATTTAAAGAAAAAAGGAGTCCTCTCCCCACGTCGCCATTCTGAGGTACCCATAGGAAAAGATCCAGGCAGGACCAAAATTAGTCCTGTCACCACTTTAAATAAAGGTACTTATCAGTTCTTTAGTGAGGAGACCTGAGAAACTGTTAAAGATCCAATGTCTAAACCTCAGAGTTTCTCAGGCAAGTATGGCAAAGTTGTTAGGTGTTCCAAGTTCTCAAACAGATAGATATACGGACATGGTTTAAGACCTAGTTCTAGCTTTACTAGAGGACTGGAAGAACAACTGGTGCTACCAAGTATCAAAAGATATTATAAGGTTAAAATAATTTTTTAAAGCTCAGTAACAGTTTGTGTTGCAAGAGGTACATATGGACGCAGGAAAGAAGAGGAAAAGAAGAAAAAAAAGTTCAAAACGAACCATGGAAGATCTGAATATACACATGATTCATTGGTACATCTGGATAAGACTAGAAATTGATCAGTGAACTCTCAATCATCTAAAAAAAGTCCTTAGGTCACTGGACTGTGTTTGACTGTCTGGTTTAACCAGAAAAGCAGTGATTTTAGAGGCCTCTATTGCCTTAGGGCTACTAAACAGTTTTCTTCTTCAGTGGCTTGTTTATATTTCCCCAAAAACTCACAAGGAGGCTTAAATAAATAATTGTGAATGGGTAGTGCTAGAGGATACTCATTGAATGAAAAGGGAAAGAAAAAGAGAACAAGCAAAGGAATTTTTTTTTCTGTGAAAGGAGAAGGAAAGTGGACAACAAAAATGGAGAAAAAGATATACAAAAAGATGAATAAATACTGGGCGCCAGACAGAGAAAAGTAGTATAGTTGGGGGGAGAATATATGAAAATTCAATAAAAGAGAAGTAGTTCTGTAACGCCCCAGTCTGTAGCCCTTATTATAGCTATTACATTTAGGGAATGAGTGTGTGTGGTGTAAGATGGGCAGCGAGAGTTGGAGAGTGTTTTGGGGACACTATTTCTGCTACTGAATGTTTTTTGTTTTTTTTTTACTTTGGGGCCTCTCAAGGTTTATTCTAGGGGAATCATTTTTTAACTCTTCTAAGCTGCCAGTACTACCTTATCTATCCAAGGCAGCCAGACACAGATACTAAGGGCTGTGTCTCCTGAACCGACCCTGACAACAACACAATGACGTCGTTCAGAGGATGAGCTAAGGTCTGTGTCTCCTGGACCGACCCTGACAACACTACAATGACGTCGTTCAGAGGATGAGCTCAGGAGGCAAGACATTTGGAATGGCCGTCATGGCTAACCATTGGACAGGATTGTTTTCAAGGATTTCTTGAGAGTCAGGCAGTTGGCTGGGGCATGCGAGTCTTCCATAAGTAGACATCATTATGACTATTTGCATACTTTCTTTATTGGGGTTTAGCATATTTCATGCTTTCCCAACACTAGAATCTGTGGTTTTTAATTTAAAATGCTATGGCTACTGAGCCAGAAGCAAAATAAATTATATTTCATATTCTCAACTTAGCATGTTTTTAACATGAAATGTTTTGTGAACTGGGAAGAGTCTTACCCACTGTCACGTGGATCGTGGAGGGTCTGGCCCTGTGACCCAGCTGTCTAGATTCTCACTCTAACTGCTTGTCCAGCAGGGCCTTTCCTCTGCTCAGCACTTCTGCGGCTGCACTGCCTTTCTGTGGCTCAATGGGCAGCACCTGCAAATTGCCTAGACCACGTGCATCTCTGATACTAACCTAGGCTGTCCAAAAGGAAGGCAGGGAATCATACCAACTATATGGAAAAGGTGTAAAGAACTTTCCCTACCAAAACTCTAACAGGCATGTAATTGCAAAACACAAGAATGAGGGGAAATCTGTGATGTAGACACCGTGGTTATTTTTCTTCATTTTCTTATAATATGAAATGTTCTCTGTGTCACAGTTATGTTATTTGGCTCATGATGAAATCATATCCTTGAGGAAAATTATGAGATGCAGACAGGAGAGAAGGGAAATAACAATTGCCTTGTGTCTACTATGGGCCAGACTTTATGTAGCAGCATTTTTTATGATTTCTGTTTGAGTCTTTACGCCAGTTCTTGGGTGAGGCTTTTTCTTCCAGACATGTACAATTTTTTCAATGGGATTTCAACCACACTCTACATGCTGTCTCATGGTCTGTTAATACAAAATACGTTTCATTGCTTTGTTTGCTCACTTCATAAAAATAGTTGTCTGGAGAAAATTTAGGATATCTGGCAAGCGCCATCTTGTGACCAAAACCAGAAGTGTCACTACAATGTCCTTGTAGGAGAAGGATGGGAACTACATCCTGCCAGCCAGCAGCTTTCTCAGGCTTCTAGAATATACCATGCTCAAATTTCGAGTTTTGTTATGCATTACACGAAAAATGGAATCTGAATGTCTTTATCTCCAATGGTCTGATCATAAAAAATAACTGCATGTTTACTGAAAATTGAAAATATGAGAAAGATATATGAAAAGAAAGTATAATTCAGGAAAGACATTATTTCCTGTTTATCTTTCCATATTTTTTCTTTACATAAATACATGAATGCATATCATCTCAAATCAGCTTTTTACCCTGATCAAGCTCATGGTTTGAAGATTTTCCCATACCAATAAGTACAGGATGTCCCAAAAGTCAGCATACATAGGGAAAATGGGAAATTGTAGATAAATGCACCTTTATTTACAAAATATTCATTACAGAATGTTTCCTTCGTATGGAGACTTTTGGGACACCCTGTATTTTCAATGTGATTTTTCATGAATCACTTCAAATGCAATTTTCCCCTGACTTTGCAACTTTTTATCTCAATCTTTTTTTCTGATATTGTTAAAATGACTATATATGTATTAAGGATTATTTTAAAATAGAGATAGTAAAGCCCATCCTGTCTCTACAACAACATAAATAACTCCATTCGCAGTCTGCCCTATTTTATTTCTGATTTGGTTAAACATACTGTATTAACAGTCTTTTAGCTTTAAATGACATCACATGGTGCTTGCCATTCTGCAATTTGCTTTTTCCACTAATGCTACTTCTCAGACATCTTTTCAAATTACTACAAGTTTATACTTCTATCTGTCAGCTATATAACACTCCACTGTATGGATGCAGGATACCAGCTAATACTTTTAAAATTGTTTATAGAAATAAACCAAATCCTCTGTGTTTTTCACTCTTAAGCTTAGATGATACAGAAAAATGGTTCTTGCTGACAACACTGTACCTGACAACACTGTACCTGTGGCCCAAAGGATGGGCTGCAGAGAGGAAACAAGCAGGTTTGTAGTTGACACAGCAACCAGGCTACCTGCTTAATCAGGTCCAGGAAAAATTCCACTATCAGCAAAAGACAAGGGGTGTATTGGGAGTGTGTCTGTGTGTGTCTATGTGTGTTTATGTATTTGAACCAAAATGCATACAGCTTCATTTTGTTCTCGAATTATGAAAATGATTATGGGATAAGGCAATTCTAAAAATGCTGAAACCACTGCAAACAGATTTAAAAGAAACCCAGTAATCTGAACACTCAGAGATGCAGACTGTTAACACAGGAGCCTAGTTCCCTCCGTAAGGAAAATGCGTATGTATATTTACAAGTGTTATCACTCAACAGCATATCTGAATCCCTTTCCACGTTCATGTACATTTATATTTGTGTCTGGATGTGTCATTCACTACCTGTTTACGTTTTCCTATCAGTTCTTTTTTGGGTAGAGTTAATAAGTGCTTAAAACAAAACATAATAAAATCTGTAACGAAGATAGAAACATGGAATGCCACGTAAAAAATTAACATGAACAGCATGCCTCACTGAAGTCTTAACTTAGAAGCCGTAATCTGATCGCCCATTCCCACACGGAGGACTTTAAAAATATCGGGAGAAATCAAAATTCCAGAGGATTAATTCCGTCCCGATAACAGCAATCCAACCAAAACCATATTCCGTTCCCACCTCTCCCAGGCAATCATCTCTATTTGTTTTTCACTTTAAAGGCCCGAAGAAATATCCAGAAAATAACTAGCTTTAAGACAGCCATTACCTTGAAGCTTCTCGTCAGCTGCAGCCTCGTGAAATGCAGCCCCTCCCCCAGACTGGCGGGCACAGCTCGCCTCCAAGCGGCGCTCCGGAGGCTCCGCCCCCTCCCGGTGATGGGGAAAGCAGCGCGCCTTTCCCTCAAATAGACAGAAGAGACTCGTCAAGTTAAACTGAAATTCCCTTAAAGCGAAAAGATGTTAAAACACTTGATTTATATGTCAAAAAAAAAAAAAAAGATTTTAAAGCACTTTGAAGAGGAATGGCAACATGTGTCTCTTTAATTTACATTCAAACCACAACAGTAGGTGATTTCCTGGGAAAAAACACATAGCATTGTTTTTATCATATAATAAACACCCAGTGAAGAATATCTTTTACAAGTTTTCCTTGTCTATTCCGGCACCTTATTTCTACAAATGATTTTAAGATCCAGCTGGTCAAGCTCTGTTAAAAAGCCCTGTTAGGCCCTTGTTTGTGATTGCAGTGAATTGATACATTATTTTATAGATAATTAATTTTCTGCAATTTCAATTCTTCTGGCCCTGGGACATGACATGTCTTTTGATTCAGGTCCTTCAGAAAGTTTCACAGTTTTTTTCAACTAGAGTCATTTCTAAATGTAAAACATCAACTAAAATCCTTAAAGAGATAAATAAGTATCTAAACCACAGTAAAAACACATTAAGTCAAATTTGAAAACAGAAGAACAAACTTGACAGAAATGTTTTTAATGCAAAAATATCTTTAACCTCGGAAGTTTGAGGCAGGAGGATTGCTTGAGCCCAGGAGTTTGAGGCTACAGAGCATTGTGATTGCTCCTGTGAATAGCTACTGTACTCCAGCCTGGGCAACACAGCAAGACCCCATCTCCAGTTTTTTTTTTTTTCAAAAAAATCGCTAATCTAACAATTCACAATTGCAAAGATGTGGAAACAACCCAAGTGTCCATCAATACATGAGTGGATTAATAAAATGTGGTATATGTATACCATGGAGTACTATTCAGCTTTAAGAAACAATGGTGATATAGCACCTCTTGTATACTCCTGGATAGAGCTGGAACGCATTCTACTAAGTGAGGTATCCCAAGAATGGAAAGACAAGCACCACATGTACTCACCATCAAATTGGTATTAACTGATCAACACATAAATGCACATATAAGAATAACATCTATTGGATGTTGGGCAGGGGGGAGGAGGGACAGGGGAGGAGGGAGGAGGGGACGGGTATTTGCATACACAAAGAGTGCAATGCGCACCATCTGAAGGATGGACACATTTGAAACTCGGACTTAGGGGAGCTGGGGGGGGCAAGGGCAACATACGTAACCTAAACATCTGTACCCACATAATATGCTGAAATAAAAAAAAAAAAAGAAAAAAATCGCTAATCTAAAGTGTTTTTTACATATTAAGAAGAAATGGCGAAGTAAAGAATATGGGCAAAGGACATAAATACATGATTCATAATGTTCTGAGGGGATAATTTTTCCCCACTCTTCCTATTTACTTCCTTGAGAGCAAGCTCATACAGTTCAACTGCAAGTATTTTTGTCCTCTGTATAGTTGCAAACCTCTAGGCTATTTGATTAGATTTGTTTAACTTTGGGGTCTTGTTCTAAGGCCCATTTGATTCTCACAATAATCAATGACCTGCAACTTATCTTCTCCCTGCACTAAATGTCCTGTAACTTATCTTCCCTTGGACTAAAGCTGACGTTTTGGCATCCATCTGCAACTCCATTTGTTTTATGTCAATTTATTCAATTTGTTCAGTGGAGAAAGAGAGTTGCTACTTACTGGGGCTTTTCAGAACCCAAACATTCAAAATAAAAATTAAAACCGACAAATATATAAAAGATATTTCCCTTCCCTAATAATCACAAAGATGCAAATATAAACACCAATGAGATGCCATTTTTCTGATTTGACTGACAAATAAGCAAAGAAATGATACAATAAACAGTAAGGGAACAAGAAAATGGGCACTTTTACTCATGCCCAAGGTCACAAAGCTGGGAAGAGGGCAAAATAAAATCAGAGTCAAAATCTATCTGACTCCAAAACAGGAGACATGCCCTCTCACCACCAGTACTCATTGCCTTCTGGGCTTGGAATCCTATCTCTTTGGTAAAACCAAAGATGATGTCATTCACTTTCAGATTGTGAGAAAATTGGTGAACAGAACCCCAGATCGAGTACTGGCTTAGTCTCATGTCCTCTTCAGTGAACACACTGGTGAACTACAACCATCTTTGGTATTTACCATACTCATCCTTGAACTCTTTTCCATCTCTTATATACATCTAAATTCCTACATAAATTTAACAATATTTTTGTGCATTATGCTTTTGCACTGACCGTATCTGCAAGATAGTTTTCACTTGGCCTTAGAGCAATTATGTCAAGTCTCTTTTGTGTTATAGGGGCATGGAAGTAACTACCTTTTCAGAAATGGCTATCCTGGACAGGGACTGAAAATAATTTGTTTACTCAAGAAAGTGCCATTTTCACTCCACTCTCACTTAACGATTGGCAGTTTCTTGTTCCTGTGCTTTGTTGTTTGCAACTACCTATTCAATATGGGAAAATCATATTTCTATCCTCTTTTACTGAGCTTTTCTATTCACAAAATACTCAAGAAATTAAGATTTAAATTTATTATTTTCTATTGCCTTTAACATT